ATCTTTTATATTTGTGGAATGTCAATAATCAATTAATTAATAATAACATCGATCTACTAAATTGGCAAACCAGCGATGTTGCATATTTTACTATTCGTATTTACAGGGCGATTATATTTTACCAGTTTAAATTTGCCCTCTTTGTGAAAGCGTTGGCCTCCAAAGATAAGAACTATTGGATCGTGTCTTCTCATCTCATCGGATCATTATCGTTACTACAATAATTATTTCTTAATTCTATGTCTTATTTCCTAACATCCTATTTTTGTTTCTGGGCCATTCTTTGTTGGTCCTCGACTTCAGCGATAAGTCGTACCCTAATAATCCTATTCTACACCTACAAATAAACCAACGAAATCGTAAACCATACTGACAATATTTTACAATCTATTTAAACCTAACAGAAAATAAAAATTAATTGGTGAAGAACTTCTTGTCTCTTCCAGCGTGACCTGCTCTTGCTCCTAGAAGTTGCTGGACCATGGAAGCGATTATGACGTGACGACTTTCTTCTTTGGATTTGGGTCTGTTGTCTCGAACATTATTATTCGAAAGTAGGCATCAAGGCATCTTCACTGACTCCTTTGTGGTTTTAAATTGAAGAAGTAGTTCATATCTCAAAGTAGAGTTGAAATTTAATTCAAAAGAAAAACTCAAAAGTCTTCCTCCACAAATACTTTAGTAGTTTCAAACGGCCCTACAAGGCTACTAATCCCGAAACATGTAAGGCCGTTTGAAACGAATAAAGTATTTGCTGAGGAACACTTTGAAGTGTTCTTTCGAATTCATTGGTTTTGATGAATCCAGAGCGGAAGACCCTAGATCTTTAAACAGAAGGACTGGGAAATCGGGAAGTCTTCTCTATGCCTCTTAATCGAGGTAGGTTCTTGCTTCTCGAATGGCTGCGTGACCTGTAGCTTCCACATTTAGACCCTGGGACGACTTCTTTTGGCATAACTTTCCTATACGTGTACCCTTGCACGTATCTTTACAACTCTAATGCGTCCTCCATTTATTTATGTGGCCTCTAATTTTTTGATATGTTCTTTAACTCACTGCAAATACCAAATTTAACCATTCCTACTTTGCAGTTGCGGATTATGAGAACGCACTATATTTTCCGCTTATGTTATGACGTGCACTGTTTATTCTTGTTGTGGAGCCTTATTTTTTCCTGTGCCGACTATTGCAGCGTAAAATTCAGGTAGCAGCGGTTGCCTTCTCCTGGGTACTTCGATGCTGAATATGGGGATTAAGCACGGGACACTTACCAAAGGTACCATATCCATCCATATTATATCACAAGGGCTTTGCGGCTATTGAGGGTTTTACTTAAGGTTAGGGGTTGCTCTTCAAGAAAACGCACAACTACAATAAGGAGCTTTTTTTTTTTTTTTTTTACGGATATGCGCACTCGCAAGGAAATGTCCTATCACGCTCGAGAAGCGGCAAGTGCGCGGAAATGTCGGTGTATGTTGGTCTTGAAACGGTTCAGGTTGTAACCTGCAGGGAAAACCGTCGCAGGGAGTTTATTCCACAGCGAATCTGTTCTCCAGAGATATGAATTCTGATATAATGAGGTTCTTGGTGCCTCTAGTTTGACAGTAAATTCATGGTTACCGTCTGTTTGACGGGTTCGCCTGGTAGGTGCTACTCTCGGTGGAATCATACGTGCCAACTCTTCAGAGCATTTTCCGTGATAGTACCTGTAGAAGAGAGATAAATCGCCCACAGATCTGCGATGTTCGAGACCATCCAAGTTACGAGTAAGTGCGGGGTCATTGATCAGCTTGATAGCTCGTTTTTGCGGGAGTGTCAGCAATTGGCTTGGTGTGTACAGATGTCTTGTACGAAATAGCACCCCCAGCTTTTGGGAGGCCCTTTTAGCAATATCTGCCACGTGACTGTGCCAAGACATGTTGGTCTCTGCAGTAACCCCCAAGATGTTCAACTGACTCTGTAATGTGACAGCACTTCCAGATAGCATGATGTTTGGCTCACCGGTGCTGGTCTTTTTTGAAAACAGAGCTGCTTGGGTTTTCTGCGCGTTGAACTGTACAAGGTTTTTGTTACCCCAGTCCTTTATTATCTCCAGGTCGTTATTTATCTGCGATATTTGAGTTAGTCTAAGATGATGGAATTCACGTGCGGAAAGACCTGTGGGTGGTATGAGTGAGGAGACTACATTGCCATCGTCTGCAAAGCAATAAAGTGGATTTACTGTTTTATCTATGAGGTCATTTATGTAAATCAGGAAAAGAGTTGGCGAAAGGATTGCTCCCTGTGGCACACCAGCATTTATTTGGTAAGAGTTGGAGTTCTGGCCATCCAGTGCAACATAAATGGATCTGTCCTTTAGGTAACTTTCAAACCAAGTGCAAAGTTTCGGCGATAATCCCATTGCTTTGAGCTTGTTGAGCAGATTTTCATGCCAAACTTTGTCGAATGCTTTAGATATATCTAAGGCAATTGTTCTTGTTTTACCCCGCAACTCAATCGCTTTTTGCCATAAGTGAGTGACGTATGTAAGTAAATCGCCAGTTGACCTATATTTTCGAAATCCGTATTGCTTATCGTTGATAATTTTGTACTTTTCCAAGTACTTGGTTAGGTGATTGTTCACAACTCTTTCCATTACTTTTGATATCACCGGAAGTAGAGCAATTGGTCTATAGTTTAACGGATCTGTCTTTTTTCCTTTCTTTGGAATGGGTTGTACTGCGGCAGACTTCCATGATGATGGATATACTCCTTGCCTGTAAGACAAATTGAATAATTTTGCGAAAGTTGGGGTGAGTTCGTTGGCGCAATTTTTGAGTACTATTGCGGGAATGCCATCCGGACCCATTGCTTTGTTTGTATCCAGCTTTTTTAGGGATTTTCGTATTTCTCTGTGACAAAAGGGTACCTCTGGCATACTATGGGAAACCCTTTCAATGAACGGTGGAGTTTTTCCGTTTGGCACTGTTAGGTTGGAGTTGGAGGAAAACATTTGGGCAAGCATACTGCCTTTTTCCTCTGATGTTGTGGCTAAGTGATTATTTTTATCTGTAAGTGGTGGTATGGATGACTTGGTGAAGTTAGATCCAACAGCTTTTGCAAGAGACCAAAAAGACCTAGAACTACTTGGACAATTCAGCAACCTGTTTTTTATTCTTTGATTGTATGTTTCTTTAACGTATATTGTCTGCTAGTGGGTACCTACATATACAAGTTGCAACTAGTCCCTACACGTACAGGCGGCAATGCTCTAAAGGGGATTGCTCCAAGACTCTAGGAGTAAGGTGACCCTGAAGAGCAGTGTAGCTACTCTTCCTGGGATAAGGCGTTCCTGAGGAAACTTTGCTACTCTCGCTGGGTTGCCGATGCTGGTTGTGCATCGATCTTTTATATATATTTGTGGAATATCTACAATCAGTGTGCCTATTATTAATAAATACATCGACCTACTAAACTGGTGAACTAGTGATGTTGCATACTTTATTATTTGTATTTATAGGGCGATTTTATTTCACCAGTTGACAATATGTATAATTATACCAATGAATTATACAGAGAGGTCCTAAAGTCCGTCCTCCACACAACTAACTTCAGGGCGCACTCAGGTATTTACTTTTGCACTAGTGAGTGGTCCCAAAGTTAGCAGTGGGGAGGAACCTAAGGTCCTATCTGTATAACGTATACCTGTCGGTCTATGTCTTCCTGTCTATCATTTCCTCCTTTACTCCACTTCTCCAGCTTCTGCTTGTGGTCTGCCGCGTCTTGTTCCCTGGCTACTACTCAATAATTTGCTTGGGCATATTTGGACCAAGAGTAGTGTAGTTTTAGATCTAGTTTAGTTTTAGTTCTACTCTGTGCTGTTGCCTCCATAGCACATGTAAAAAAATAATTTCGAAAGAAAAAGAATCAGATGGAGTACCACCAAGAAACAAATATGCTGGATAGAATGCGCAACAACGATTGTAGACGCAAAATTGGATGATTGTTATGTAGTTTAGTGCGATTTCTTCTGGCTTCTGCCTTTTGTTTATGTTTTCAATTTCATGTTATTTATTGTATCACAGTATCGACTATAAGGTAGGTAGTGCTTCAAAATGTGTAATAATTTCAATATAATCCTTTTGAATAATCCGTGATTTAGGTCATATTATATAATATATTCAAACGTAGGTAATCAATTTATAGTTCAACCTCACTTCTTGAGCTCAAAATTTTCAGACAAAATTATACAAAGTTGTCATTATGTATGGAAACGGTCTAATATTTTAGAACGCACTTAAGAAAAATGTACAATATTTCCTACCTCTGGGGGTTTTTGGGAATGCCCGATTCAAAGGTCGTATTTGCAATGTTGCCAAGTTTACCATTCCTAAGATGCTGCTTATATTTTCATTTTTTCAATGAAAGTCCCTCTTTATTTTTATTGTAATAAATTCAGCGTCCCAACATAACTAAAACCCCTAAATGCCGAATCTTCATTGGACTTGGTTTTTGAAATATGACAACACAGTTTTTGTTGAAATGTATGGAAACGTTTTAGTATTTCAGGCTTCAGAAAAATGTGATAAATGGCCGAAGATAATGCGTATTCCAGATTTATAGAAGGGTTGGTAGGCCGAGGTAGGAAATATTCTAAAGTCTGTTTTTTTTTTAAAGATAATTCCCCAAGTCAAAAATTTAGTAACTATGTTGGCAACACAAGCTTCTTCTACATAAAAAATTTGAAAGCATTGACAATATTACATTGTATTGCCAACATAATGTCATTTTGACTTTATTCTTTGAAAAAAAAAAAACAGATATTACATTTTTATGAAGCCTATTCTGAAATACGAGACCGTTTCCATACATTTCAACAAAAAACTGTGTTGTCATATTTCAAAAACCAAGTCAAAAAGAGGTTTCGCAAGGTGTCGGTATAGTGTAGTCGGTTGCTATGAATATTGATTTTTCAACCGGTAACGATCGCTGGTAATAAATTCACCTATTGTCATTCCCACGTCACATTGAGACATTTATATTACACACAATTTTTTTACAGCAAAACATTTTCTTACAATGAGGCGCAATTCAAGTGATATTTTCTGTCTCAAAGAGCCACAAGCAGGCGATACAAGAGGTACGCAAATGTTTTCAGTTAATGGACAATGCCAGTTGTCAAAAGTAGGCAGAAGACGGCACCTTCATTCGGGATCCTCTAGTTTTGAGTATGGTTCTCATTCGCCACCACCCGGGGATTCAGCGCAAGTGCTCCAGGAGCCACTGATGGAAGAAGTGGAGGGTATAGACGCATTGGAATTACACTCGGATTTACATGAAGCTCATCTAGATTCGCCTAGATCTGATATGGCAGTGGGTACGCTTTCATCATCCGCTTGCAGCCCCAGCACTTATACGAGCGCTGCCAGTAGCCCCAACAAGTTTAAAAGGCCTGCCAAAACAGAATTCCGTAAGATTAATTCTCAAAAAGAAGAAGAAAAAATTTTGCCCTCTGTCATGTCAAGAAATCCTTTAACTGGTGCAGGTCTTGAAACTGAAACGCGCAGGAATACGAAGAAAGGAGCTACGAGACAGCAAAAGTGGACGTGGTAGAAGGCAATTGTTCTTATTTAAATGTATTTTTTTCTAATAAAATTTCTTGGAGCTTTTAACTTTATTCGAGTTTATTGACTTTATCCTTGATTGATTATTATTGACTAAAAAATTCACATATTTTCTGCATTTATCATTTATCATATCTTAAATAAACATTAAAAGAAGTTTCACGTAAGTAAAATAACATGTGATTGATGTGAAATATGGAATTTATCGTTGAGCAAATATTGATTTCCTCTGTGCAACATATATTCAGTTGAAATTTTTATCTTTGACCATAGTGATGTGATTTTAAAATAATTCTTTAGGGCACATTACATTATTCAATATACTGCGTAAGCCATTCAAATAAATAGCTTTGTATATAGCAATGTGGTCAGCGGAGTGATAAAGAAGACCAACTTCAGCTTGCTTTGATTGCTAGCTTGTAGAGTATGAAGTACCTACACATGAGTATGAAAATACATCGAAGCTTGGGTCCCACTTTAGGCATAGGATTTTGATAAAACTAGGCTCACCTTTGTCAAAGGAACAAGATGTTTGACCTTGATTACGGGAAACGCCGGCAAGGAGAGCTGGATTGTTAGCTGCTGGCCGTCTTGCTTAGTTGAAAATTGCCCTTTCTCAAGATCTGGGAGAGTAACAGAGAGAGCTCCACATTCGAGAGAATTGTTGCCTGCTACGTACCTAATTCCCTTCATGAACCATGGCTGCTTCCAAGCTAGATTCTCTTTGATTGGCTAGTTTCTGGAGACTTTTCGAAGCTATATGAAGGAAGATCGATAGGGGCACTTGGAGAGAGCCTGCATAAGATCCTTGGATAGTCATATAATTGGGATTGAATGAAAATGTGCCTGTATTTTGATACAATCGGCAAGGTAACAGAAGGCATGCACGCGAAAGGAAAAGGCACAGAAGAAATATCTTCTTTAGAGTGGTTTAATGGCAAGAGTACTGCTAACTTACCAAAGGATTTACGACATGTGGGTCATTGGTAGATTTTCTCATGTTTCAAATTGTCTGAAGATTGCGGTGCAGCCATTGGTGTCTTTCTTGTAAACGAAAAATAACGTAATTCAATATAAACAACAGTTCCAAAATTAAAAATAAACAATTATGATTAGTAAAATGTAGTATGCTCTGAAAATTAGAAATTGCTCCACGATGCTTTTCTGGGTGACTTGCTTTAGAAGATAACTCTGTCACAGTAAACTCTAGCCATTTGAGATAATAAGGTGAGGATTGTACGCCAAACTTCGTCTCTGGCAACTCAGAGCTGGACTGATTCAATAAACAAAATTCATAGATTTGTGCTTGAATAGCGCCGCGAGGCGAACCAAATGACATCTGCATACATAAAAAATTACTAAACATACAGAGTGGGTTTTAAGTAATGGCTTGCACGATTTTTATGAATTTTTGTTTGAGAGAGTATCGTAGTATGGCCGAAAATATGCTAGTATTTACATGGTTGTCAGATCTTTCGTTTTTCGGGAAATATCAAAAACTCTGTTTTTTCCTCGGTTTTTTCATATAGATCACTCTGTATATTATGATATTTATGGATTCTGGGAAAAATTCTAGACATATTTCATGTACAATGTCATATACCCATCCTCGACTGTTTCGGAAATATTGACAGTTGAAAATTGGCTTTTTTGCAACTTTGACAGGCTAAACGGTTAATTACCAAGTTTATGCTTCCGTTAAACCGTTTTAACCGCTATAGCTATTTACCTAACAAGTGCGGAAAATGAATTTTTCCGCAAGTGTTAGGTACAATATTTTTCCTACAGGCGTAAAAATGTAGAATTTTTCTTTTTTTTTTTTTTGACTGCCGTGCGGTAAAATTTTTTCCACACTGACAGCCGTGCGGAAAAAGTTCTACCGTACCGTGCGGGAGAACTCATTTTCCGCACGCATATCAGTGCGGAAAATTGATTTTTCCGCACGGCTGTAGGAAAAAACGTTTTCGAACTTAAAACGTTTTATCCTGTGTTTATAATTCTGTGAGGCTTTCTCCAAAACAGTTTTTAAATGTCATAAGAAGCAGTGCTGGCACTCCCTTAAAATGGTTTGAGATGTTTACGCAATATTTAAACCGTTTTCAAATCGGTTATAAACACGTTTTCAAGACGTTTTAAATCAAAACGGTTTGACGGGATAAAACGGTTAATGGGGTGTTTATACAAGCATTTTATAGTAAAACGTTTTCTGTTAAAACGGTTTAACGGGAAGCATAAACATGGTAAATTTTAGAGAAAAACCGATCTCACATTCTTGTTTTGGATTTTCATAAATTAGGTATCATTTGACACCAACTTCAAATTTATTCCATGATTGAAAATTTCAATTAAATTTAATCTCCTATTAATTTCAAAGTTGGTGTCAAATGATAGTGTCACGGCTCTGGCTTGCCTCACAGAAATCTTGGTATCGTTTATTCCAAAATCAAAGTTCAATTAACACAACAATAATTTATTCTACCTAACTATACACTCCGATACTATGAACTTCACTAATTAACTCAAACAACTAAACTCTTTACAATTCTCAACAATAATCACTATCCAAATCATATCACAGTCAAACTTAAACTTAAAAATGACTAACTAATAGCGGCCTTATGCCACATATATCCCTAATCAATTCGTGTAGAATCCAGAATAAACGCGATAATCGTATTTGCCGGAAAAAGGCAGCCTTTTCTAGAATTTTGGCATGTATTCTGGATACCATGGCAGAGGCGCACGTAAATTCTGTTACATTGTCCTCCTCTTAAGATTGATCGTCCCAATACAACTTCACGACTATGATATTTCGTCAATCTGTCCAAATGTACAACTTTCATTTTACTCTTGGTGAACTCGATAAACCAAATCGTTTCCTCTTATTATTCTGTAGGGTCCTTCCCATGCTGAAGACAATTTTGGTGACACTCCTTTCTTTCTTGTTGGATTATACAGCCACACCAAATCATCTTCTTGAAATCCGGCTGAATTGGCTTTCAAGTCGTATCTAGTCTTCATTCGGTCACCGGCCAGCTGAATATGCTCCCGAGCTAAATCGTGTTTTCCCGAAAGTCGTGCTCTTACTTTGTCGGCATAATCTCGAATTTCTTCTCGTTCTTCTTCAGGTATTTCAAACATCAGATCGCAAGGTAACCTGAGTTTCCTTCCAAAAACGATTCTAGCTGGACTTTCACCTGTTGACTCGTGAACAGCTGCTCTGTAAACCATTAAAAATAGAGGCAAGTGTTTGTCCCAATCTCGCTGGTTCTTTGCGACCACTTTTGTCAGGTGTTCCTCTATGGTCTTATTAAATCGTTCTACCATGCCATCAGACTGTGGATGTAAAGGTTTTTTCCTTGTTTCATGAATGCCATGATCTCACAAATTTTCTTAAAACTGACAGATTCGAAATTTCGTCCGTGATCTGAATGTAAGTCTAGTGGCACACTATGACTAAAAACTTCGTCCACCAGCACCTTGGCAATAGTGATGGCTTCTTGATTGGGAATAGCGAAAACTTCTGGCCATTAACTGAAGTAATCCATGATAACCAAGATGTATTTGTTACCACGCTCTGACTCAGGGAACGGTCCGGCAACATCTATCGCTATTCGTTCAAATGGGAGACCAACTGTTTCATGGGCCCCCGAGATGTTAGTTTAGGGCCTTTACTGGTAACACAGATGTCGCATTTTCGGCACCAGTTTTTAACGTCTTCATGATAGTGGACCCAGTAAAAACATTCTCGAATTTTATCTAAAGTGTTGTTAACTCCAAAATGTGCCCCTGAAGTTCCTTCATGTATTTCTTCTAATACATCTTCTACTCGATCTTTTAGAATAACCAGTTGGCTCTTACTGGGTTTCCCATCGGCATTTTTCCAAACTCTTTTAAGTAAACCATTTTCTACGGCCAGAGAGTTCCATCTGAGCCCACAACGCCTTTTAAACTCAAGCTCTTGTTCGGTTCGACACTTCCCTCCATTTTGGCCTACATTCATCATTTTCTTTAAGATGTAGAATTTGCCCAATGTCCTGGTCTGCTTCTTGATTGGCTCTAATTCAATCTTCTTTGCATGGCCATCTAGACAGAGCATGCAGGTTTCCAGGTCGATGTTTAATTTGGAAATCGTATTGCTGCAATTTCTCAATCTAAAAGCCATTTTAGAGCCGCGTCATCTGTTCGAATTAGAAACTTACGGCCGTAGAGATACTTATGGAAATGGTCAACTGTTTTTACAATGGCAAGCAACTCTCTTCTGGTGACACAATAATTTCGTTCCGGCTTTGATAAGGTTCTGCTGTAGTACTCTACGACATGCTCTTTTTTTTTTGGATTTGTGAAAGGACAGCTCCAATACTGGTGTTGCTTGCATCTGTGTCTGAAATTAACATGCCTTTCTGATCGGGATAGGACAACACTGGCTCGTACATAATGCTCCCTTTAATTTTCTGAATGCGGTATCGCATTCTTGGGTCAAATTGAGTGTTGATTTTTCTTCCGTTGATCGATAAATCCTCCCACAAATATTCGATAGTAAGAACATAATCCCAGAAAACACCTTAGTTCATGTTTGTCGCGTGGCTTTGGTCAATCCCTGACAGCATCTATCTTTCCTTCCATATCTTGTATGCCATCTTCAGATACCACGTGACCTAAGAATTCCAATTTCTTTTGAAATAGAAAACACTTATTCAGATTGAGTTTTAAGTTGGCATTCCGGAAGCGGTCAAAAAAAATTTCTTTCAGGTTTTTGAGATATTCTTGAAACGAATTTTCCATGGTCATGACAGCATCCAAATATACTAGGCAAGTTCTCCATGTAAGGCCTCGCAAAACAAGATGCATTACACAATCCGAAAGGCATTACGTTAAACTGTTATAACCCGCTTCCGGTACTGAAGGCAGTTTTCTCTTCGTCATCTTTATGTATTGCCACTTGCCAGTATCCACTTCTGAGATCTAAGGTGGAAAACCATTTGGAGCCCGATAGAGTTACTAGTGCATCGTCTATTCTCGGGAGAGGGAAGCTGTCCTTATTGGTG